GTTCTTCATTCTCCCAGTCCCTGCCTTTGCTGTCTGCAACTTGTGTGGTATGGCTGGAGCACTTGCCAGTGAAGACTGAGGCAAAAAAAGTCACCGAGTACCTCAGCTTTCTCAATATCCCAGGTCACCAGGTCTCCTGTTTCCTTCCGGAGAGGGCCCACATTGTCCCTTGTCTTCCTTTTGTCACCGACATACCTGCAGAAGCTTTTTGTGTTGCCCTTGAGGTTGCTGGCTAGATTTGATTCTATCAGGGTTTTAGCTTTCCTAACCTGATCCCTGGCTGCTCGGACAGTTTCTCTGTATTCCTCCCAGGCTACCTGTCCTTGCTGCCACCCTCTATAGGTTTCCTTTCTGTGCTTGAGTTTGTCCAGGAGCTCCTTGTTTATCCATGCAGGCCTCCTGGCGTTTTTGCCTGACTTCCTCTTTGTCAGGATGCATTGTTCGTGAACTTGGAGGAGGTGATCCTTGAATATCAACCAGCTTGGGCCCCTCTTCCCTCCAGGGCCTTGTCCCATGGTACTCTACCGAGCAGGTCCCTGAAGAGTCCAAAGCCTGCTCTCCTGAAGTCCAGGGTAGTGAGCTTGCTGTGCACCCTCCTTGTTGCCCTAAGGATCCTGAACACCACTATTTCATGATCACTGCAGCCCAGGCTGCCCTTGAGTTTCTCATTCCCCACCAGCCCCTCCTTGTTGGTGAGAACAAGGTCCAGCATAGCATCTGTCCTTGTGGGCTCCTCATCACTGGGAGAAGGAAGTTATCATCAGTGCAGCCCAGCAACCTCCTGGATTGCTTATGCCCTGCTGCCTTTCTCTCATCAGACAGAGCCATTTGTCTTGCTCAAGTAGTTTAATACATATCTTTTAATATTAAGTTCAGATGTGTGTAATGATTTTCATTTTGTAGAATAGCTAAACATAAGAAAATTTCGTTCCCAAAACAGTGCAGGGCTGGAATAGTTAAATATTACTAAACTCAAGCATGCGAATGAGAAAATGAATTCTTCAGTTCTTCTGCTGATGTTCCTTGATCATAAACACAGACTGAGTTAAAGTCTAATGACTGTGTTTCTCTTTTCAGGACATAAGGGACACTTCTACGTGATAGAATGGATGAACAGTCACAAGGCATGCAGGGGCCTACTGCTCCACCATTTCAGCCACAGGTATTTTTTTTGTTTTAAACAGTTACTCAAGAGTGGATGCTGTAGTTTCTTAAATAGAATAAGAGAGAAATTAGAAAACATTATTGCTTGTGGGGACAAAGAAGCTGTACACAGATAGAATGTATTCCTGTGATCTTGAAATTAACTGAACATCAGTCCTATAGTTCAGAGAAATTAATTACGTTTCATTTTTGCCTCCTGCTGCTTCACCAACTTTGAAGGTTTGGAGTTAGAGTGGGAGTAGGAAGCAAAGATGAAGGCAGTTGTTTTCCTGAGGAATGGTGAGCCATTAAACACTACATGTTTGAAATTCTGTCAGAATTACCATACTTATTTCAGACTGATACCTTCAGCTTTCTCTTCTTACACCTCCTGATAGTGATACTGTATGAATTAGTGCCATTACCTGTTGAAACCGGGCAAGAGAAATTCCCAGTAGCTGTAGTTCTGTTAGAAAGAAGATAAATAAGAAATTTAATCTTTGGATGTGTGTTGATGGTGTGAAACAAAGAATAAATATTATCTGATAAAAGATAGTAGTGCGATATTGCTTTTTGACATTTTAAGGAGGTAATTCTTTGAAGGGAGTGCAAGAGTCTGTAGAGGAATACCCTAAAAATATTTACTTTGGTGGCCATTCCAAAGTAAAAGCTGGAATCTAAATTTTGTAAGTTTTTTGTTAGCAGCCTAGGTGATAGGGCAATTTGTGCCCTTTATTTTACAGAAACTAAGGTGGATTCTAGCTTGTGAAATTTAGTAAATTTATAATAACCAGTGTTTGTTAGCTCCAGTGTTTTCATTATAGCTTTGTGATTAAAAAAATAAATCTGGATTTAATAATGTTTATACCAATGCAAAATAGTTAGAAATTTTAGATTAATATATAGCTAAGCATACAGATATTTTGAGAATATACATTTGTAATTTCAAAACAAACATACAAAATACTTAAATTTTATATTAGGAATACCATAAGGGATACCCGTTATTACCACAGTGGGGTGTTTGTTTTTTTTTTTTCGTGACTACAGAGAAAGTAGAACATGGCTCAGTAAGGTTTCTGTAATGCTGAGAAACCTTCCTATGTTTTCTGTTTGCTTACTACAAACAGGTTTCCTGTTTTCTCATCTATCTTCTGAGTATTTGAGTACCTGTTTCTGATTCACAGAATCAACTTTTTGAGGACTGGTTCAATTTTAGAAATATTACTCTAACCTACCAATTCAGTTTATGAATTCGCACTAGTAAAATATGATTCTAGTTTTACTGTTCCAAGTAATATGGCTCGTCTACAGGTATCCAGTTTCCTCTGTGGTAAACTAAGGACAGACCTAAATGCAATACTGCTGTAATCAACTAGACATTTTCTACAAAAGAAGAAACTGATGTTTATTCTCAGCTTTTGGTAACTGTCAAGCATTTTCATAATCGGTTTGTCATTATTCTTTTTTTTTTAAATAAGTTACTGTGTAAACTGCATTAAGCATGATTTTTGTGGTTTTATTTTTCTTGAGACAGAAGATTTTGGGTTTGTGGATCTCAGCTGTACCTGCATCAGTATATTGACTGTTTTGCAGTTCAAGGGATAAGGAGTGGAGGCTAGCAAACATGCTCTGGTAGTAATATTGCCAGAGTAACACCAAAATATTCAGTGACATTCTCATCTTGTTAATCCAGATTGGTTTTTCATGTGAGCCAGATACATACTTTAATTATTATGGATTTCTCTGCTAATGGAGCATGCTTATGGTGGAAACTAGCAAGGAAAAGAGGTTGCTGTACTAATTGCTGATACATGTGGGAGAAGCAAGAACTGAAATTGAAAGTACAGCAGGTTATGAGCAAGAGGTGAGGTAATAAATTATAAATTCCTGAAGAATTGTGCATCAGGTTTTGATACGCCTGTGAATCTATTCTAATTCTCTTGGTCATTATATTGTCTAAACATATACTCCTGTTTGTAGCAAATTAAATTACTCTAATCACTGAGAGCTGTTGATGAGGAGCATGAAAATATTTAGCCAAGCAGTATAATGGCTTAGTCCCAATTAGTTTGAAAACACCATTTCACAAAATCACACAGTAGTTGAGGTTGGAAGGAAGCTCTGGAGGGCATAAGCCCTCCTGCTCGAGCAGGGTCTCCTAGAGCAGGTTTCCCAGCACCATGTCCAGGCAACTTTTGAATATCCCCGAGGAGGGAGACTCCACAACCTCTCTGGGCAACCTGTGCCAGGGCTCAGCCACACCCACGGTAAAAATGTGTTTGCTGATGTGCAGAAGGAACTGTGTTTTCGTCTGTAACCATGGCCGCTTGTCCTGTCACTGGGCACCACTGAAGAGAGCCTGGCTCTGTCTTTTAACACCCTCCCTGCAGCTACTGAAGGTGAAGGGCTCTGGAGCAGAGGCTCGCGCCGAGGGACCCTTTCTCCAGTGGCAAAACCGCAGCGGCGAGGCGGCAAAAAGCGCCGAGAGAGAGG